CTAGTACAGTGCCTTACATTTAATTGCCATTCAGTAAAGGTAAAGGTAAAAGGTAAAGGCCCTCCCATTGATCGACGATTTGCTCGAGCGGGCCCAGTAACGTCTCCATTGGAGACTTTGTTGTTACTGTGTCTGGCATATCCAATACTCTCGGTAGCTTGCCGGGCTCTCCGAGAGGGGCGGAGGAATCGAACTCGGGTCGGCCATGTTGGCCGCTTGTAAGGCGAACGCCCTACCCGCTGTGCTATCGCTCCAGCCATTCAGTAAATTAAATATTAAAACGTTGAGATGTAGCTTGATGTTTGTCAACCCTTCAGTTAATGCATTCACTATATTTTGCTTTTCATGGTATCACGGTTCTCCCATTGTTCATCATTTGCTCGAGCGGGCCCAGTAATGTCTCCATCATGAGACTTGTTGTTACCGTGTTTGGCATATCAAGTACGTCACGGGTACCTTGCCAGCCTCTGCCGGGCGGGCGAGATACTCTCGGTAGCTTGCCGGGCTCTCCGAGAGGGGCGGAAGAATCGAACTCGAGTCAGTCATGTTGGCTGCAACCACTGTGCTATCGCTCCAGCCCTATTTTGCTTTTCATGGTTTCAAAATGTATGTCTAACATGATAACACTGTCATTTATAAAAATCTGTACATTGTGGGGCTGGAGTGATAGCACAGCGCGTAGGCATTTGCCTTGCATGCGGACCGACCCGGGTTCGATCCCTACCATCCCATATGGTCCCGTGAGCACGGCCAGTAGTAGTTCCTGAGTGCATGAACCAGGAGTAACCCCTGAGCATTGCCAGGTGTGACCTAAAAAGCAAAAAAAAAAAAAAAACTGTACGTTGTATACATTCAATTCACAGAAAACAGTCTGGAAGTAGTAGAAATATAATGCAAGCTGTTACATATCTAAACATGTTTAGGGACTAGGGAGTTGTGCAGAGGCCCAGGTTCAATCCTCTGCACTGCACTCACGGTCTCCTGAGCACTGCCCAGAGTACCCCTGAGCAACCATTAGGAGTTAGTGCTTGAGCACCACTGAGTGTGGCCACCAAAACAAAAATTTTCTGCTAGTCATGGTTTTTATTTTTTTGTTAATCACCATGAGGTCCAGTTGCAGACTTACAAGCTTCCGTGCTTACGTTTCAGTAATACAATGATCGAGTACCCATCTCTTCACCAGTGCCCCATTTTCCACCACCAATGATCCCAGTATTCCTCCCACCACTCCATCCCCCGCACCCCACCCCACCTCTGTGGCAGGGCATTCCCTTTTGCTCTCTCTCTCCTTATTGGTGTTGAGGTTTGCAATAGAGGTATTGAATGGCCATCATTCGGTCTATATGTATTGTTACAGTAAAAACAAATATCCTTAACCCATTCCAAATTATTTAACATGTAACATAGTTTTAGTTGAATAATATATCCAGGCTGTCTTCAAAAACATAATTTTATTGAAATATTGCATGTTGAGTGCTTAGTGGCCTATGTTATAGGACTATCAATATAGGAATAATTTCATCTTGGATTTTTTTTTTTTTTTGCTTTTTTTTGTGTCACACCTGGCAATGCACAGGGGTTACTCCTGGCTCATGCACTCAGGAATTACTCCTGGCTGTGCTTGGGGGACCATGTGGGATGCTAGGAATTGAACCCGAGTCTGCCGCGTACAAGTTTGCCCTACCCTCTGTGCTATTGCTCCAGCCCTGACTTAATTTTCTTATGAGAGGCATCTTCCAGCTTTGGCTCTGTGTAATTTTTGCTTAAGCTAATTGGTTTGGCCCGTTTTGGTCGCATCCCGTATTAGAACGTTTTCTTTTTCTGTGGGCGTTGGGGGGAGTTGGGCCACACTCAGCAGTACTCATTGCTAACTCCTAGCTCTGTGCTCAAAGATAACTCCTGGCTGGCGTGGAGTACCATAAGGGGTGAACCGGGATTGAATATGGGTGGTTGTGTGCAAGGCAAGTGTCTGCCCTGTACTCTGTCAAAACTGACTGTAGCCAGAGGCGGGAGGGCACTTGCCTTGCTTGCGTTTCTTACACCCACACCACATACCGTCCCCCAACAACAACTACTTCCAGCCTCTAGGAGTGATCTCTGAGTAAGTCCTGAGCACTGACTGGTGTGGTTCCAAAGTCAAATAAACCGAGTAAGTGCAGTCCATAGACGTTTAGTAATCCCCTTTTCACGCAGTTTACTCTCAAACATAAACGTGGAACATTACTGTTCTGGAATTGAGAGTGCAGCAGTGTGATTGATCAAGTTAATCTTGCACAAAAAAATATTTACAGAAGATGGGACTGGTTTCAGAACCAAGATTAATAGTACTTATAACTGTTAAGGAGTTGCAAGTCTAGAAATTTTTTTTTTCCTTTTTGGGTCACACCTGGCGATGCAAGGGGTTACTCCTGGCTCTGCACTCAGGAGTTACTCCTGGCGGTGCTCAGGGGATCATATGGGATGCTGGGAATTGAACCCGGTGGCTGCGTGCAAGCAAACGCCCTATCTCTTCAGCTCCGCAAGTCTAGAAATTTTTTTGGGCTCTAAGAAAGTTTAAGTAGAACCTAAAGAGCTCTTGAGCTGTTGTTAGAGAAATGTCTTTTATTTCAGGCTGGGATATAGAGCATATGTAACTCAGTGGTAGAACAGATATACTTTGCATGTATAATATACATATTATGAATATATGTGGGCTGGAGCAATAGCACAGCGGGGAGGGCCTTTGCCTTGCATGCAGCCAACATGGCAGACGCAAGTTCAATTCCTCCGCCCCTCCCGGAGAGCCCGGCAAGCTACCGAGTATCTTGCCTGCACGGCAAAGCCTGGCAAGCTACCCGTGATGTATTCAATATGCCAAACACAGTAACAACAAGTCTCATGATGGAGACGTTACTGGGCCTGCTCGAGCAAATTGATGAATAACGGGAGGACAGTGAGAGTGGACAGTCATGGACAGTGGACAGTGGAGGAATATATGTATGAGGACCTGGACTGATCACTGGCACTTTGCACAGCAGCCCGCCCCCAGTTTCAAAAATGTATGCATCTGCAGTCATTCCTGATATACAAAAATTCAACATACACCTTTTGTTTATAAGGATGATCCAGGAGTCGGAATAAAAACAAAGGAAAAATACTCGTGAAATACACAACATGTTGGTAATTTGTGTTATTAAATATATATATTATTTTGGGGCCACCTATGGCGGTATTCAGGGCTTTTTCTAATACCTCTGCGCTCAGGTAGTCCAACCAGGATCTGCCGACTTCCAGGCAAGTGTTGGGCTTTATGTTTGTTTTTGTTTCTGGGCCACACCTGGTGATGCTCAGGGGTTACTCCCTACCCACTGTATTATTCCTCTAAATGCACTGAATTTCCAATTTTGGCATTTAAAATACATTGCATAAAACTATTTTGTACTTGGGTTTTATTGTGGTAATTATCTTCTCTGGGCTGGAGCTATAGCACAGCGGGTAGGGTGTTTGCCTTGCATGCTGCTGACCCAGGTTCAATTCCTCCGCCTCTCTCAGAGAGCCTGGCAAGCTACCTAGAATATTTCCCCTGCACGGCAAAGCTACTGTGACATACTCCATATGCCAAAAAGAGTAACAACATATCTCACCGTTGTGAGACGTTACTGGTGCCCGCTCCAGCAAATAGATGAACAACGGAAGACAGTGCAGTGCTACAGTTATCTTCCCTGTCATAAATAGAGCTTAGAGCTTTATTTTGGGGGGGTGGGGGGGAGGCACACCTAGCAGTGCTCAGCTTTACTCCTGGTTGTGCACTCAGGAATGCTCAGGGGGACCATATGGGATGCCAGGACTGAACCCTGGTGGGCCCTGTCCAAGGCAAAAAGTCTTGCCTGCTGAACCATGTTCCGGTCCCTGCCCTGTTTGGGATTTTTAAAAAGCAATTCTGCCCTTGCACCTTGGAGGTCAAGATTCAGGTGTAGAGCAGTGATCTCAAGCTCAGGCACCAGATCTGAACTGTGGCTTCTACGGAGGGTTTGGCTTTGCTGCACATTCAGCTCGGAGGAATGATTCAGGTCACTGAATGGGAGATCTGCAGGAGCTCGGGCCTAAGCTTTAAAAAACAAATTGGGGGCCACCCCTGGAGGTGCTCAGAGCTTACTCTGGGCTCTGCACTTAGGGATCACTCCTGGCGCGGTTTGGGGGTCCGTGAGGGTGTCGGAGATTGAACCCGGTTTAGCCGTGTGCCAGGTAAGCACTCCATTCCCGAAGCACTTTTTATTACGGGCGCATCTCCCTACTTTTCCCGAGTAGCTGCGAACCCGGACATTCGAACGCATCCCCGTGGGGACTTGGCTAGGAGCAAGGCGGCCCTGTGGGATTCCTCGTGGAGTCCAGTGTGCGCTCGGACTCGGAATCTGGTGTGAATCAGCTCTGCCTCGCTCGGCCGCGGGCTCGCAGGGTCAGGGGGCGGCCGGAAGGTTCCGACTCCTTCGCAGGGGCTCTGCACGGGCCCCGTCCACACCCCGAGCGGCCGCGGAGCGGTCACTAAGAAGGCAGCCCCGCGCGCCCCGGGTGTCGGCCGTCTTTACGGCTTTTCCCCCCATGCAGGCGTAGAGCCTGCCCCGCTCCGCGAGTCAGGGAGTTCTTGGAGACTGCAGGACTAGAACTGCCCGCTCGGACTCCCGAACAGGGACGGTCGCGGGGCTGGAAGTGCCGAAAACTCTGGGGACGGTCCGCGCGCGGCGCTGAGCGAAGAGGGCGGAGCTGCGGGGCGCGAGGGCGCGGCGGGCGGGGTGATGACCTCGGTCGCAGCGGGCGGCCATCTTGCGCCAGCACCGCCCACCCGCCGCCGCGGGGCGGAGCTACGCTGGCGCGCATGCGCGACGGGGCAGGGGCGGGGCCTCCGGAGACTGTCGCCGGCGGACGGTCCGCCGGTCGGTGGTTGCGTGGGTCCGTCCGCCGCGGCGGCGGAGCTCGGGCCGCCGAGGGATGCGGGGCCCTTCCGCCTTGGGCCTCGCAAGCTAGCGCGCTCTGGCCGTAGACGCCGGCCACGATGGTGCCCTGGGTGCGGGCGACGGCGGGGAAGCTGAAGCAGCGGCTCCGGCTGGACGCGGGACGCGAGCTCTGCCGCCAGTACCCGCTCTTCTGCTGCCTCTGCTGCCTGCTGCTGTTCCTCAGCGCCGCCTCGCTGCTCCTCAACAGGTACCGGCGGCCGCGCGGGGCCGGCCGGGGGCAGGGCGGCGGCCGGGCCTTCGGGGGCGCCGCGGGGCCCGGAAATGCGGCCGGGAGGCGCAGGGCTCCCCGCAGCCGCCGGCCCGTCTTGTTTTCGCCTCCCGCCGCGTCGTCGCCGCGCCTCCCGGCGTCCGCTCCTTCCTCCTCCGCGCCCAGCTGTTTCCGAGGGCCGCCGCCTCGGTAGTCGCGGGTTTCCGGGCGGCCGGCGAGCGGGGTCCGGGGCCGGGGCGCGCGGGGCCGGGCCGGGGGCCGGGGGCCGGCGGGGGACGCTGCGCGTTCCGGGGGCGGTGGCCGCTCCTGCCGCGACGGGAGCCCGCTTCCGAGGCCCTTCCCTGGGGACCCCGAGGTCCCTTCCTTGCGCCCTTCGCCGGGGGGAGTTGCCGCGCCGAGGGGACGCGCGAGACCCCGGGGCTGTCGGCGCGGGCTCCTGCGCGGGGCTTCTCGTCGCCGTTCCCGTCACCGTCGCGCCCCTCGTCACCCGCGCACGTCGCCGAGTTCCCCTTCCCAGCCCTCGTGCCCGTTCTGAGGCCCTCCTGGAAGTGGAGTAACGTGGTTGACGGTTGATTATTGTTATTATTATCCGCATTATTAGTCAAGTCGCCACTGCCCGGGACTGGGCGCGAAGGTCGGAGCAGTGGCCTTCCGGCTCGCTTGTTGGTTTTAGGGGCGGAGCTCCTTCGAGATGGGAGTGGGATTCCGTCTTGGCTGGGAAATGGGCTTGGCCCGGGACGTCCGGAGGTTTGATCCCGAGGGGTCGGAGGCGAGAGAGTGGGAAGGACCCTTGACACAGGCGGGAGGGTTTCTGCTGCCTGCCGCCTGCGAAGTGTCCGTGGACTCTTACACGGTTCTTGTCGCGACCAGGGGCCCTTGATCTTTGCTTTCGGGGCCACACGCGGGGGCGGGGCGGCGGCGCTCAGGGTCTACGCCTGACCCTGTGCTCAGGTGGTCACTCCTGCTGGTGCTTGCGGGACCGCATCGAACGCCAGGAATCGAACCTGGGTCAGCCGCGTGCAAGGTAAGCGCCCTGCCCGCCGCTCGGGTTCACTGCTTCCATCTGTGGCGTGGGCCGGCCGTGAAGGAACAGGTTGAACCAGCTCTCTGAGCTCGCCTGCTTGATCACAGTGTGTGATCTTTGCACTCGATTTTATTTTCATTTTTGTTTAGTTTTTGGTCTTTTGGGGTCGTACCCGGTGGTGCTCAGGGGTTACTCCTGGCTCTGCACTCAGGAATTACTCTGGGTGGTGCTAGGGGAACCTTGAGGGATGTGGAGGACCAAGACTGGCACGTGTGTAAGGCAAATGCGCTACCTGTTGTACTATCACTCGGGCCCCTTTTACTTTTTTACCATGCATAGAGAAAATATGTCGTCCGCGGTGGTGTGGCTTATGAGTGAAATTGTTTTAGTATGTGACATACTTCTGTTTGTGTGTTATTTGCAAAAGTGACTTTAAACGGTAGAGATGTGCCCAAGGATGTAATTGAGAGGTGGAGTGCATTACTAAACCCTGGGATACTGTCCTAGGAAACGCTACGAAGGAATGGCATGATCAAGCTAAAGATAAATACTATTTGATTTTTAAGTTTGATTTTGGGGCATTTAAGTGCTCAGGCAGCACTCCTGACTTGTACTCTGGGGGCACAGTGGTATGCAGGGGATGGAACTTGGTCTCCAGTGTACAAAGCATGTTCTCAGGCTTGTTCTGTCGTTCGTATTGGCCAAAATTGGAAGTTTCTAAAAAAAAAAAAAATCATGGAACTGCCTTGAATAAAAGAATGGTTAGGTGTACCCTAAAAGCCTTTGGAAGGTATAGACCAGTGAATGTTGTATGCATGATTTTCTTTATTTAAGTTTTTTAGCATTTTGGGTCACACCCAGAGATACTCAGGGGTTACTCCTTGCTCTGCACTCTGAAATTACTCCTGGTATTGCTCGGGACCGTATGGTATGCCGGGAATTGGGCCCTGGTCAGCCGAGTGCAACGCAAATGCCCAAACCGCTGTGTTACCTCTTTGGCCCTGCATGCTTTGCTTTAAAATGTATCTGTGGTCACATGTGCGCACACAGACATGTTTTATTTCTGGAAGGTTATCATACAAGAAAATGTCTTTTCTCTTGGGAGTGTAAAATGCTGGGTACATCTTAGCTATTACACACATGGCCAGAGAGATAAAGCACTTGCACATACATACATGCACATATACACACAACCAGAAATACAGTGTGGGCGGGTAACGTGCTTGAGCCTACAGCAACACACACTACAGAACATCTCAGAAATTACGCACACACGCGCGCACACTCCCCTATAGTGCTTTCATTGCAAGTGACTGATTTTTTCCATCACACACACTGGGAACATCTCAGAAATCAATCTCTCTTCCCCCTTACCTTTTTCTCCCCTGTCTCTCCCTTCGCACTTCCGTTGCATGTGGCTCTCTCCATTTTCATTCCCGTCACCATGAGTTCCTGAGCACCCCTCAGAACAACCTCTGAGCACAGACCTTGGTGTGGCCCAAGGCATGAGAAGAATGTGCAGATACACTTTATACTTATTACTAGTAAATGATTTCTACACAGGTATTACACTCAGTACTGCACAGGTATATTTGAAAAACCAGTAAAATTTTAGAAATGTTAGAAATCTTGTTTAAAATTTTCACTGGTTAATGCAGAGATTTGAAGTTTTCCTCGCTATACTTATAATACTCTCGGTAGCTTGCCGAGCTCTCTGAGAGAGGCGGAGCAATCGAATCTGGGTCGGTCGGTAAGGTTGGCAGTGTGCAAGTACTCCGATCAATAAATAGGTCAGACGTTTCTATAGCTGGTACCGAGAGTATCTCGCCCGCACGGCAAAGCCTGGCAAGCTACCGATATGCCAAACACAGTAACAACAAGTCTCACGATGGAGACGTTACTGGGCTCGCTCGAGCAAACCGACGAACAACGGGAGGACAGTGCTTACTTATAATAACATTTTGAAGTTTTTTTAATAGTCCTGCACTCATATACATAAGGATCTTTTTTTTAAGTATTATTTAATGTATACATTTGTTTTACTTTTGTTGTTTATACAATGGCTATACCCATTGGTACTCAGGGCTTAGCTCCTGGCTCTGTGTTCTTGGATTATTCTTGGCAGGGCTTGGGGGACCTTGTGGGAAGCCAGGGATCGATCCCAGGTTGACCTGCATGCTGTATTGTCTTATCTGGCTCCTAGTATACACATTTTTCTTTCATATAAATTGACTATGGATTTTGTGAAAAGAGAAATGAATATGACCTTTTGACCATTGTAAATGATTTGTGAAAGAGAACTGAACCAGGGAGATAAATATGCTTTGCATTCCGGATGCCTGTGTTCAATCCCCAGTACTACATGGTCCCCTGAACACACCTAGGAATGAGGATGGAGTTGGAAGTAAAGCCTCTGCACACCTCTGGGGGTGGCCCGGAAGCCTTAAAAAAATGAAAAAACATAAAAGCATATCTTATATAAATTCTGTACTGCTCTCACCTTTCCAATATTTTAGGATAAACTAGAAGTATGAAAGAAATTCTAGAAAAATTCTATAAACTTGTATATTTGACCATTTAAATGTTGAGTATTAAATTAATTTCAATAATGGTGCTAGTTGACATGATGAACTCATGTACTAGTAATGAATTGTACCAGTAATAACAAACACTTTGTAACTTTATGCCTAGTATATTATTAAAAGTTTCATGTAGGTTTCAAAGATAGTACAGTTCGGTGCTTACCTTGCACTGGGATGAAAGGGATTCAATCTCTGGCACCACATACGGTCCCCAGAGCACCACCAGCAGCAGTTATTTCTGAACACTGAGCAAGGAGTAAGCCCTGAGCGTAACCGGGTAGGCAGGATTGTGGAACAAACCAAAAGGGTTTTCATTTACCATTGAGACAGTTTTATTGTTGTAGTTGAACTTTTTTTCCCTCTTTATGTGAAGTAAGATAGTTTTTATTGAAACATACTTTGAATGTGAGGGGAAACAGGAAGTATGTGTTTAAGAGAGAACATGGTTTCTCCAGAGTGGAAAAAGCAAGCAAAGAGATGAAGAGGCAAGCAAACGAGATAACATTTCAAGGGAGAACAGGTGCTTGAAGAGCAAGCCAAGCAGTAGTTGAACGTTTTAAATTGGAAAATTTTGCTATAAAAATTTGATTCTACCTCCCCCATTTACCACTTAATCATTTACCTCTTATCCAGGCTCTGGGAAAGTGGTCTGACTTCCATCTGTCACATTTCCTCATCTAAAATAGCAAGATCTGAATATTTGATGATTACTTGGGCTGGAGCGATAGCACAGCAATAGGGCGTTTACCTTAATGTGCAGCCAGCCCGAGCTGGGTTCGATTCCTCCGCCCCTCTCGGAGAGCCCGGCAAGGTACCGAGAGTATCTTGCCCTCACGGCAAAGCCTGGCAAGCTACCCCTGACATATTCAATATGCCAAACACAGTAAGAACAAGTCTCACGATGGAGATGTTACTGGGCACGCTCGAGCAAATCGATGAACCACAGGAGGACCGTGGACTGTGGAATTGGTTAATACAAGGATGTGCTCAGCTCATAGAATGTTCTCATTAAATATTTGAAATTGTTTTGTCTCTTATTCTTAAAACACTATAAAGATTGGTACCAGTATTAACCTTATTTTACATTTTTGTTTTTGGGCCACATGTGGTGGTACTTACTCCTAGCTCTGTGCTCAGGGATCACTCTTTGTGTGGCTTAGGGGTTTGTCCTCAGTGTGCAAGGCAAGCACCCTACCTTGCCTTGTGTAGTGTAACCCAAAAAGCCCCCGCCCCCCAAAAATAATAGATATTTGTCCTCTGTGTGCAAGGCAAGCACCCTACCCACTGTATTATCTCCCCAGTTTCTCGTTTTTCTTAATTTTTTTTTAAGTGGAATGGAAATGGAGAATCTCCCCAGTAGAGCAGGGGACCAC